TCAAAAACAACTATCAGAGATGACACTGTTACTGACACAGTTCAGATCCAGGTTATCTGGAGGACTGTATTCTTCCACACAAGCATACCTGAACTGGGATTTTTCAAGGGAGATTCTTCTGTATGTCCCACCACCTTTACAAGTATATCTGGTGAGAATACATTTGGTGAGAACACAAGCTGCTTTGAGGTACGGGAACTCTTGTCCTAGGAAGACCAGAATTGGTTCTTTCTTTGATGTCCTGCTGGAAACATGTGAAGAGGATTTTGTTTGTTTTGGGTGATACCTTAGAAACTGACTGTCTATAGAGAAAGGGCTTTTTATAAGAAGCTGTGTTGTTCATGTTTGCTGCTTTTAATGGATATGTTTTTAAACTGCTTTGAATTGTATTGATAACAATAGAAATTATAACCTTTAATTCTATTTTAACTTTTGTGTGTTTTTAGTTATGTGAGTCTTGACCAGTATCTGCTTCTTTTTTATATAAATTGCTTTCACTTCCAGGGCTGGGGAAAAGACAGGATGATGGTGAAGATGATGTAGATAATTGCATCAAAGTCCCAGGATGCTGCATTGCCTGACCTTTAAGTAGCCATTGTGGAACAAAGAAACGTCAAAGGGAAATTAGAGTGAGAGACTGCTAAAATACAATTCATTAGGATCTAGTCACTAGAGGGTTGACTCAGATTACAGGATTGCTATCACAATACATGTGTTAATTGCCTTGCCTAATTCCCGGATGTTTGTGTTATCTGCAATAGTTTGATGAATGGCCATTGTTAATAATGTAATTCTCACTATCAGTATTTTTGATGTTCAGTTTCCCTATAACCTCACTGTGTATAATTCCACCCCCAACCATGTCCTCTCTCTCATTCTCTCTCTCTTTCTCCATGCACATATATACATACAACTGAAATTCTGGTTAACACTTCAGTTAATCCTGTTGTTAGTCCTGACTAGTTGATCTACTGAGCCAATTTAATTCACCTACATGTTGACTCAAGAATCCCAGCTCGACCATGGATCCCACTGGGTGACCTTGGGCAATTCACATGCTCTCCACCTAGGAAGAAGGCAATGGTAGCCCTTCTTTGAACAAATCTTGCCAAGAATAACCCATGATACATTCTCTTTAGGGTGGCCATAAGTTGGAAACAACTTGAAGGCAAACAACAACAACAACAACCAACCAACAACATGTTGACTCATCATTCAACAATTGGTCTCCACGTGCTCTTAGTCTCAGGGGAAGCAATGGCAAACCTCCTCTGGACAAATCTGGCCATGAAAACCCCATGATAGGTTTGCCATAAGCCAGAAACGACTTGAAAACATACAATCACAACTTCTAGTTGGGTGTAACCAATGAGATGCCATCCTGCATGCATCAGATAAAGTAGATTATATAGTCCCTGAAAGTGTGTGCAATTATACATTTGTTAGTCTTTAAGGTGCCACACAATTCTTTATTCTTTTATAATGTTGCAAGTAACAGAATAAAAAGAAGCAGATCCCTGCCTCAAAGATCTTACTATTTAAATTAGGCAGTACAGAAAACAACAAAGGCATAGATGGAAAGAGGCAAGGATGGAGAGGGATGGCTTATTCCATTTGCTTCTCCATCCATGGAAGTAAAAGGTTTGTTTTTGATATAACCAAATTATCCAAAGGATGGTGGTTTTGGTTTCTCATGTAGCCCTGTATCAATATAATGAACCAACGGTGTAGTTAGATGTTTTTCTTATACCATAGCAGCAAGTGCACTAGATCAATGCGCTGTAGTGACAATCAAAGTGGCAAAAGCATAACATGTAAATGAAGATTATGTACAGTCAGTGAAGTAAGCAATGTTAAAGGGGTGATAGTGATCATTAAAACATTTGAAAAGGGACCAGTGCCTTTTGAATGAGGATAGGAAAAGTGCACTACAACTGAATTCAGCCAAAAGGCTAAAGGCACTGGATTCTGTCTGATCTTGGAAGCTAAATATGGCCAGCTGTGTTCAGTACTTGGATGGGAGACTGCCAATGAATACCAGGTGCTGCAGGCTATATTTCAGAGGAAGGATCTGACAAAACCACCTCTTCAGTATTCCTTGCCTAAGAAAACCCTATGAATCCATGGGGTCACCATAAATTGATAGGTGGCATGCAGGCACATACACAGGCAAAGTTTAGCTTCATTTATTTTATTTACTTATTAAAATATTTATGTGGTTGTGTGCCTTCATGAAACCCTTTTTCTGAAGATCTCAGGGTGGCAAACAATCAGATCAGTCCAACAAATCTGAAACAGTATAAATAATATTTGAAAAGGCTAAAAGAATTACCAAATTAAAATCAGATTGGAAGAGTTAAAATACGGTAATTTTAAATGAATTGAGACCATGTGCATAACCTAGTAAAATCAATTAGGCCCCCAAAGTTTGTTTTTACTTGGCACCTACTGAACAGCAGAAATGTTGGTGCCAATAGAGCCTCTAAGGGAAGGGTGTTCCACAACTGGTTGCCATAGAAGGGAAGACCCTCTCTCATATCCTTGCACATAACATTGCTCTGATTGATGGGACACAGAGAATGGCCACTCCAACAGTCCTTAAATCTTGGGCAGGTGCATACATGGAGAGGCACTCATTAAAGTATCACTGTCCCAAGCTATTTAGGTCTTTCAATGTCATTACCAACACCTTGAATTCACACTAGAAACATATTGGCAGCCAGTGCAATTCTTTTAAAACTACTGTTATATGTATTTTGTATGATGTTCCACTCATGTGACTGTGCACACTTGGTGAGTCAAGCAGCGCTAAAGGCCACATGTAGCCCCCAAGACCTTCAAACTACCTAGATGACCCTTTTCTGGTAACAAAAAAAGGTGAATTGGCTCTTTGGGAAGCATCCAGGATGCTTCCAAAAATGTTGCAGCCCCCAACCCTTTTAGTTTTTAAATATCCACATTTTGCAAAACTAAAATGGGCTTTCAGATTACAGAAAAATCTCTATGTTCTGTCCTAGGTTTATGGCAAAGCTTGGAAAAGTTACTTTTTTATTTTAACTTACAAAATGTCCCTGGCCTATAGGGAATAAAAATAACAACAACAAGAAGAATGAAGTTGAAAGGAAACAAAGGATAATTGTTCTTTATTATCCAACAAATAGATAACAAAGAGATCAAAGCTGCTGTCAGTACTAGTACTAGAGATATGCAGATGGGAAGGAATGGAGACATGAGTTGCATCTACATCAATTTCAGGTTAAGGAATGTTTTATAATGCATTCAAATTTGCTTTGGATAAGTTCACAGAGGTCAGAAAGGAAATTTTCTGTTGCGCAACCATGTTGCACTTTCTGATTTCCAAACATTGTGACATTTCATGCCTGGAAGCATATAGAGTGGGAGGCCCACATTTCAAAGTATTGAATTGGCTGTGTGCTTCTGGGTTGGGTACATCATCATGCCTGATCCTATGATATGGCTGTAGTGCATTATTCTAGTAGTACAGAATACATTAACACTTTTACTGGAAACTTCACAACATGGCTAATTAAAAAATCATCAGAGATAGCATAGCCAGGAGATAAAAGATAACTCGCATGTTATCCCAGAACTATCCTGCTCACTGTGAAACTATACTTGTTAGCACAAACAGATTTGCCACCATATATAGGGTAATAGCCCATCTCTTATTAGCATGCTGCCTAATAAGATTACCCTTAATTGGGTCAGTGATCACATTGGTATGACTATGTAGAGAGCTCTTGTAGCACCTTTGAGACTAACTGAAAGAACAGCATGAGCTTTCATAGACTTCAGTCTACTTCCTCAGATGCTTTTGGTCACCACAATAGTAGTGATTCTACAGACTAACACAGCTATATCCTATATCTTTGAATTCTACATCGTTATGAGTCACTCTATGCTGATCTGGAGATTCTACTGACAGCCAACTTTTTAAAAAGCAATGATACACATCAAGTCCAGATAATTAATCATGACAAAACATTACTAGAGTATATATGCAGCTTACCTCCACCCACCCACTGTTACCTGCCCATTTGACATGATATGATTTTGCCTACTGAAGAAGACAGAAGACTTTGCTGGAACAGCAGCCAGCCATATCTTAAATCATAACAATGTCATGAAGACTTCAACTTCTTGTTTTCAGGTGTACCATAAATCCCCACTGCCTGTACCACTTAGGACACTTTGCCTGCAGTGTGGCCATCCAGAAGCTGTTTGTGATCAAAATCCTACTTGGAGCAGGTCATAGGATAAGGCTTACAATGACCAAGTAGAAGCTTCAGGAATGGTGTAATGCCATAAGATTGTGTGAGAATCAAAGCATCCAGGCTGGTGTTGGGAGGGATTGTTGCACAACCTAGAAAGATGATTGTGCAAGGAGATCTCAAAAACTTAATTATACAAACTAGCAAAATTCCCAAACACTTGTGTAAAACTGGCCCCTAATGTAAATCACCACCAAGATTTCAATTTGTATTTAGGACTGGTATACTATAACTAGGAAAATGTTAAAATAGGATTCATGCGTAGCCAAGTCCCTTTGGCATCTGTGAAAACAACCCTTAATTTGCCAGTGCATATATAGGAATGATCTTTCAGACTGAGGCATGTCTATCATTAGCCCACGCTCATTTCAGTATGTCTTGATGATGAATGAGAAGGTCAACCCATTTGTCATTTGGACAGCACTCACAGTACCAGTTTCTCTCTCTCTCTCTCTCTCTCTCTCTCTCTC